TGTGTGTGTGTGTGTGTGTGTGTGTGTGTGTGTGTGTGTGTGTGTGCGTGTGTGTGTGTGTGTGCGTGTGTGTGTGTGTCCAACACAGTCAGCTCTTTATAGCTCAGGGAGGGACCAGTTTTATGAAAGACCTGCTTATGTTTCAATGTGTGTGTGTGCATTAACGAGGCATGACCCACAAACAGTACACAGGTAACAGACGTGACTTTAAAAAGACTTAAATTTGAAGGAAAACACACGTTGAACACACTGCACACACTTTTCTATTCATACGCCATGTTAGGCCTGGAACATGTTTATCTTTTACTGTTTACAATTCGTCTGCAGTAAATCAACTAAAATCTGTTAACATAAGGCAGTCTACACTCTGTGAGGCTTGAATTGTGAACAGAGAGATAAAATGTAAAAACTTACCAACTGTTGTGGCTCTTTAAAAGAAGTGAAAACAAGTTATTATTGTTTTCTTCTGTTGAACAGAAAAGGACTTCTGTAAAGGTGACACCAGATGAGTGATCCGAACCACATCTTCTCTCCTCTTTTAGTCTCCACCTTTCCCCAGCACCTCCCTCTCCTCTTCCCCTCGTTTCCACCATCTGCCCTCATTCTTAATTCACCTTCAGGTCCTCTGCGTTCCTCTGCTCTGCCCCTCCAGGTCTGATTAGAAGGCAGGAATTCCCTCCACATTCAGGGGCTCCTGCACCACCTGCAATCTGTTCAGAGGAAATAGGTGCCCCCCCGGATCCCTCCACCAGGAAACACGTTCAGTGAGGCACTGGTGGCACAGATGGTCCTTGTTTTCCTCTTAAAGCTGACTCTGGAAAGAACTGAGCAGAAAACTTTACCCCCAATTTCTTTCAAAGTTCTTTCCAAGGAGCCAGACTTTGTTTGGAGTCTYTTAAAGCAGTTTTGGTTTCCTAAGATCTTTCAGGTTTTATTTAAAATATATTTAAGTTTGTGGCTGATTTTTCACTCATTTTCTCTCAAGTCCTTGCACYAGACTGGCAGAACGTTGTCCTTAAAAATGTGTGTCCAGCAGATACAGAGAATTTAAAAGGTATGAAAAGACCTGAGAGATGCATCATCCTTCAGTTGTTTAGTAAGTTTTCAACTAAAATCTTCCTTGGAAAGAGCTTTATTGTTTCTGAATGTAAAAAAATAACATTATACTTGCACATAATTTGCAATTTTGCAAAATGCAGCTGATTTATTCATATTATAAATTTTGGCACTGCTCTTTGTTTTTGTTGTTATTTTTTAATCCTGAAGGCTTTTACATGATGGAAACCTTTGAATACCTATTTCTAAGACGATGAAATACAGTAGCTCTTATTTTAAAGTCATTTCAGAAAAAAAATATGTCTTTGTTAATAAATATTTCATAATAGATTATATTTGTAAATCTGTAGGACAACTAATCCCCACCCTGCACCTCCATAAAAACACGTTTGCATAGATAAATATGAGTTTAGGCAACTTTAAAACTTTAATTTGATTGTTTAAACATTTTGTAGAAAGGCTGCTGGACTATCAACGAATATTTAATTATAAAAAAATATTTTAAAATATTAATGTGATGAATCCCTTCAGGCGTTTTGATTATAAAAAATAGTTTTGTTGATTTTAAGTCTCATTTTTCTGTTTCTTAAAATGAAGTTTGATTTATATAATTCATAAATTATTCATCTGATTTTAGTTTTCAGAATGATTATTTATTATTTAACCTGTAACATGTCAGAAAAAATGCTCACAAAAGTTAAAAGAAAAATAAATGCTCTTCCTAAAAGCTGACTTTTCTTTCAGGTTGAAAGGTTTTGAGATCTTTTCACCTGATGATGGCGCCACATTCACAGCTGTAAAGAACTGTTCCAGAGGCTGAGCAAACAAACATTTATTTTATTTTTTGTAAATCGTTTTCAAGTTAATTACATCCATCAGCTTACAAAATGTGGAATGTGCTCAGAGTCAGAGTGAATATTATTTTATTTATTTATGTTTTTTTTGTTTTTGCTCAAGTGCAGAGTTGCAATAGAACCACCTCTCTTTTTATTAAACACTTTTTTTCTCAAATCATGAACAGTTTGTGTCCAGTACAGCTGGGTTTTGGACAGTGTGCTTTGTGAGATTTGTCTAAAACTTAGGCAGTGTTTCGCTTTTTGGAAATATTAAGGAATGTGTAATAGAATTTATGAGCAATAATGTCACCAAAAATAATWAAAAAAAAGAGGCTGTTTCTCTTCTTCCGTGAAATCTTCGAGGAGCTGCACGTCTGTTCCTCACAGATTTACAGCACTGAAAACAACAAACATGCTGTGCTGCAAACAACAGTTCACAATTTCAGATGAGCTTTTTGTGAATTCAAAGTGCAATAAAAAAACATATTAAGAAATTGTTACATAGATTATTTCCATCGATATCAACACAATGACAGATCTTGGGAAGTAAAAACAAATTCGAAGGATAACTGACAAAAAACACTGACTCATTTACAAATTGTAGAATCTCATGATGTCACTTCCTGGGAATAAAAAGAATAAAAATCTAAAGTAGAAAATTGATATTGGGTCCCCTTGATCTTCGGGCCATCACTGCATGGGGACGGGAACGCTTCTACAAACCATCATCTGTAAACAGTTTGGTTGTACCATCCACAGATGCTGATTAAAGCTCTATCATGCAAAACAGTAAGCCATATGTGAACATGTCTTGGCCAAAGCTCATTAAAATGAACAGAGGTACTGAGGAAAACTGTTTTTGTGATTAGATTAATCAAAATTTGAAGTTATTTTTGGAAACCACATCCTCGGTCTTAAAGAGAAAAAGTAGCATTAGGCTTATCAGCATCGCTGATTGTATGGGGATGCATTAGTCTGTATGGCATGGGCARGTTACACATCTGGAAAGGCACCATCAATGCAAAGAAAAGTGTATACAGGTTTTATAACATATATAACCAGCCAGATGATCTGTTTTTTAGGGAAAGGTTTGCTTATTTCAGCAGGACAATGCTAAACCACCTCCTGCATCCATTACAACAGCACAGCTTCATAGAACAGACCCAGTGCTGGACTGGCCTGCCAGCCCAGACCTCTGACCAACTGAAAGCATTTGYTTCTCCAGGTAAACACCACTGAGATGACAGATCCTTTTTTTTTAAAGAGTCCTTGGCCTGAAGGCAGCCTAAACATTTGGTGCAAAAAAAAAAAATCTAACAAAAAGATTGAGGTCCAGAACTCTCCATCAGACAAGAATGGAACTTTTGTTTTGTTACTCAGCTCCAAGAGTGGATGCTGCACTTTGGGAAACTTGGTCCCGTATCATTTTTTTTAACTGTGTTGTTAATTAATACAAAATGACCTTTTATTTCCCTTAAAAAAACAACACATTTTCTTTATTTAAACATTTGATATATTTTTTAATTCCACTGTAAATAAAATGTGAATTTATGTGATTTGCAAATCATTGCCTTCTGTTTTTATTTACATTTTACACATCTCAGCTTGTTCAAAATTAGGGGCTGTGATTAAATCTTAAAAAAACCCTTTACATCAAACTCTCCTGTTTCCACCCAGGTGGAAAAATTATATACTAAAGTACATTAAATCTAAGTATACGTTAGTATACTTGAAGCCACACTAATCATTAGTATACTTAAAGAGTGCTATTTTGGAACAACTAATTTAATACTAAATATACTTTAGTTGTATTTAAGTTGTACAAAAGCACAACTTTAAGTGTATTAAGTATACTTTTAAATACTAAAATGGAACAACTTAGAATATACTTAGTACACTTTAAGTGTATATCTTTGTCTATACACTTAAAGTCTACTAAGTATATTTGAAGTTGTTCCATTTTAGTATTTAAAAGTATACTTAATACACTTAAAATTGTGATTTTGTACAATTTAAATACAACTAAAGTATGCTTAGATTTAGTATAATATTTTTTCACCTGGGCACCTGTTTGATTCCGTTTTACAAACACTAATAAAAACAACAACTTTGTGCCRCTGACAAAGACACTGAACAGCAAATCTGAATTTCTCAGATCTTTTCCTTTGAAAGAATACACAAGGTGTCGTCTGCTGGTGTTACTTTTCTTTCTTTCCTTTTTTTGTTTCACAAGAGTCTCTGCTGATATGGATATAATTACACGTCTGCGCCCACCGTGACATGCAAGCCTGTCGCTGAGCGCTCTGATCCGTCAGCGCTGCTTCTGTCCACGGACGATCTGCCGCCTCCACTCCGGCGTTCGCCTCACCTCCTGGCAGCAGCAGAGGATGTGAAGAACGGGTGCAGAGAGGGAGAGCGAGTTGTGGGGGGGCACGTTGAAAGAAGAGCGGTGGAGTGATGTGTGGGAGGCTGAGGATAATCTCTCAGACACCGTYAAGGTGTTGTGTTACCATCAGAGGTTGTTGCCAGGCAACAGCATCCTTCAGAGGCTTCCTCCGAGTGGTCGGCTGCGTTTCTGCGGCGCGTCCCTCGTCCTTTTTGGTCGCTAACTTAAACCAGCTGGAGTGGCAGCAGAGCGCGGGCGTCCCGCCTGGGCTGGAGTGGGTGGGCGGGGCGCGTCGGGGTGGGCGGAGGTTATACCAGCTCGTCCAGCAGAGTCCCTATGCTGTGATGCTGCTCGGGGGGGCCGGCGATGGGCTTGTTGCACATGGGGCAAACGCAGCGCACCTCCAGCCACTTTACCAAACACCTGCAGAAACAAACACTTTAATAAACAGGTCCTAAACGAGGCAAACRGTGACATGTTAAACACAACATGTGATACATCCACTAACTGATGCTTGTTAGTCTGTCTTATTGTCTTACAGCAACAAAAATTAAATAAAATGACTGCATCCTGAACATAATAATAATAATAATAATAATAATAAT